TGTTCAAGCCCTTTTTATAAATTATGTCTGCTACACGCAAAACGCGAATATGAGGGTGTGCATAGGAACGCAAACAGTAAAGTGTAAAGGACGGTAGGAAGGAACTCCACCATGAGTTTGCAGTGTCAGTTGAATCCATGCAATAGCGACAAAAATCTTGATTAAAAGGTAAGACGATGCTTTAGGAGCAGTAGCAAACAGCACCAGTCACACATTCATTGTATTTGGGCTTGGGGTCGAAGGTACGACCTCTTTCTTCTTGTTTCCATGACCCTTCTACGATGAACACAATGTTCTCCTAGTGTTCTTGTAAAATTAAGCTTAGCTGCATGAAGATCAGGTCTGACAAACACCAACCACTTCACTCCCATCCACTGATGATGGATGGCGACCCTCTACTGTTTGGGCACCCGACTAATGAAGGTCTGATTTTGATTATTGTGGAATATAAACACATATCTAATCTCTTCCTCCAAGCACTAAAAGCTAAACTTTTAATTATCGCTTATAAAAAAATAAGCTAAATTTTTTGCAGAGCATTGATTGCGCAAGAAAGGCGATGTGTCATTTGACAGACTGGTGGCTGCTTAAACAGGCAAAGGGAGGCACAAGAAGGAAGTGTTAAATCCTGGTAAGCTGGTGGCAAAAGAACTGAAAAGGCAACTTTGAAACGCTCCAATGGGGAGTTGGAGACTTGCCACCACTTCATGCCATTCAGCTGTGATGACAACTCAGCTATTTATGATTAACCAAATCACAAGGACAATCCTTCTCTCCCCCGAAAGCCTCGACTCCACTTTCCCTGTTCAAACTACTCCCGTGAGTGTATTCTTTTACCCAATGCGCCTTATCGAGGTCCCAAGCTTGTTGACCAACTGTGGAGCCACCTCCGGCCAGACAAGACTTGTTAGTTACAAACCGTCTATTGCAAGGACATTTATCAACTCCCATGGACAAGCATCGGTTCAGTGTTACATTGTTTGCACTAATAGCGTCAATAAAAAGGCGTTAAAGTTTACTGGACGATTTATGATATTGGTGGCATTGAATCTTTAAAGGGTTTATAAGCCTGAAGTTTGACTCCCTGTTGAATTTCATTTTCTAAAAAGAGAGAAAGGAGAAGAAAAACTGATGAGACGATAGAGGATGACCTTCTTACCCATGTAGTGGATCACCAAATCCTCGATTGTGTCGAAGGATTCGCTGGGGAACAGGCGGCAGCTTTTGTCTTGTGGATTGAAGTAGATTTTATAGTGTGTCACACATCCCTTTGCCGTTCTAACTGATAAAGCCATTCCATCGTTGTCTGTCAAGAGAAAGTGCAAAATAGTAAAAAAAAAAAGGAGGACAGGCTTCAAATGTGGTGTTAAGTGGTATAAATGATGGCATTTTATTATCTCAAAGTACTAACCACGACTGGGTCGAACAATGTAGTTGAAATTGCTAAGGTAACTTGGAGACTGAAGCAATGAATTTGCACCCGAACGATCTGTATCCCTGAAGGCGTCCAGAGTGGCTGAATAACCACACTCGCGAGTGATGTAGTTGGAGGGCACTTCACCCTGGTCACCGGTTCGTGGATTTTCGGCAACAATCCAATTAAAATCAACATTCATCGAAGGTAAGGATACTATCTGTGGAAAAAAAAATCCCAAATTAGGGCTTACACGTTTAACGACTCTCCAAACCTCGTACACGCCAAAACAGCTGTTGTCAAGATTAATGTTTCCTTGATTGAACTCATCAAATAACGAAAGTCTTTTTACTTTCCTTCACGTTTTTCAAACTTTCGTGCTTGTTTAGTGAAATTCTTCAGTTCAATTCAGTGGTTTGGGTTTAGCACGTAAATAACTTACATGCAGAAGGTCACCGGCCCTGAATTTTAAATCACCGGCTTCAACAGCATCGTAGTCATAGAGAGCGAAGGCCCAGGCTGCATTTTCTGACATAATTTATCACAAATTGAGAGCTTCAAAAGAAAGAATGCACAGGATTAAGGAAAATGACCTTTTTTGGAGCATTTGATGCTGCATGTCAGTCACGGTAATGCGACTTTGTATTCTTTCCGGTTTATGGTAATCATGCAGACTTTGAAACAGTTCAAAAAAGCTAAAGAATTGCACATCCGTTCTGAAGTGAGGGAAGGAGAGGAATCCAACTAATTTGGCGTCTAAGGGAACAGTAGGTGATTGGAATAGCCAGTGTATTATGAGGACGGGAGGGATTAAATGAAAGAGACGAATCGCCTCCCACCACCTCCTCCGCCCCCCACTGTGATGGATGCAAACTGTGTGCGGCATAGATGCTTGAGATGCTTATTTGTTAAAGAGGGTTTTTTTGTTGTCAAATCAGAGGTCAACGCAATCGTATGTCACGGTAGGAATAAAAAATTTTGACTAAGAACATTCACAAAGATCTCACGGGATTTTTTAGTTCGACAGAGGCCTCATACATCAAGTCACTATGACAGTTAACTTGTACAACTTAAATCCTACGCCTACAGGACGGGTGTCACTGACGTCTGTCAAAATACGATTAGGATTTGAGAGATGTCACATTGCATTGGCAATCAACTGTTGAGGAAACCTAACTTTAATAACACATCCGGTCTTTTTTTCCTTAACTAGCGCAGGATAAAATTTTAAAAAAACTTTAAAGTGGCTAATCGAAA